ATAATAACATAATAAAAATTCCTTGAAATATTAAAAATAGAAATACCACGCCAGAAGCCAATGTCTTGTGATTGTATACCTAACTACTCAGGATGCTGAGACCTGAAGGACTCCTGTTCAAAGCTGTCCCAAGCAGGAAAGTTTGCAAGACTTCATCCCCAGTTGACTAGCAAAAAGCCAGCCTGAAATGGTACTTCAACTGGCAGAGCATCAGCTAGACAAGTAAGACAAATGAATATGTGCCCCTGTGTTCAAGACCTAGTCCTAGAAAACTGGCAAAGTGGTGGAGGGGAGCAGGCGGGGGAGAGAAGAGTCATGTGATTCAGAACCATACCACTGTGTAAGTGTCCAAAGAGAATGAAATCAATATATAGAAGAGATATCAGCACTCTCATCTTCATTACATCATTGATCATAATAGCTGAGATGTGGTATCAACATAAGTATAAATCAATAGGGGAATAACTTAAGCAAATATGTTACATATATTCAATTGGATACTATTTAGACTTTTAAAAAGAAGCAAATCCTGAAAGAATGGAGGAAAGCAAAGGGAGGAGTAACATTGTCTAAAAAGAAATATACTCATTACCTGACTTGTGTAAAGATAAACCCTCTGTACAACACCTTAATAATAAGCACAAAATTATATTAAAAATAAAATACAAAGAAGCAAGTCCTGTCATTTGTGACTCTGGATGAACCTAAAAGATTTATGTTAAGTAAAATAGACCAGGCACAGAAAGACTATTGTATAGTCACAGTTATACCTGAATCTAAAACAAACTGAGAATTTCATTATAATTACCTCACACTAGCTGGGATAGGATTTGTACAGATGATTGGTCACCGAGGACTGATGGAAGGAAGGAGTTTAGAGACCTATTGTACAGAAAGATGACTATGTAGTGTTGTAAGATTTAAATATTCTAATAGAAAACAATTGAGTGTTCTTACTACAAGAAGTAAGTATGTAAGATAATGCATATGCAAGTTAGCTTTAATTAGGCATTCCATAGTATGTACATTTATTTTATTATTATTGTTACTATTATTATTTTGCCTGTTTTGGGGCTTGAACTGGGACCCTGGGTGCTGTCCTTGAGCTTTTTTGCTCAAGACTAACAAGAACTCTACCACTTAAACCAGAGCTCTACTTCTGGATTTTTGTGGGTTCTATGGAGATACAAGTCTCACAGACAGCCTGAGCTGTTCTTGAACAGTGATCCTTAGATCTCAGCCTCTCAAGTAGCCAGGATTACAGATATGAGCACCCAGCTAGTATATTCATTTTACATCATGTTCTATATCATAAATACAAGCGAGTTTTATTTGTAGATTGTAAAACAGCTTGTTGATTCTACTTCCAAAACACACCACAAATCTGGCTACCTGTTGCCACCAAGTTCAATAATCCCTTGTTTGCTTACTTTGGGCATCTGGTGGAAAAAGAATTTTCAACCCAGAAAGCCACTCCTCAGCTGACATGTTAGCTCCTGCTAAGAGCATTTTCCAAAAAGAGAATCTGAATGATATTTTAAGCTAAAATCTAAGCATGTCATACCTTCTCTTAAGACCTTCCACAATTCACACTTTACTCACAGTACAATCTGTAGACTTCTTATGACTAACAAGACCTATGTAATCTCTCCTTCTTGACATCTGAACTTCATCTCATCCTTTCTGTTCCTCATTTATATGTTTAGATCACTTAATTCTGTGCTGTAAACACAGGCAAGTCAGGCACCTTTGGCCCTACTACCAGAATCCTTGTAAATGCCTGCAATTCTGAACACAGGCTGTCAGTTTCCCTAAAACACTTTTCCTGATGAAGAGTTCCTTCATAACACTGGTTACCATCCTTAATTATTTACTTGTTTGTCACACTTTTGCTCTACTAGAAGCCCAAGTTTTCTATCTCCTCTCATCTCTTTAGAATCCATAACATTTTCTAACCCACATTCTGCCAAAATCTGAGATGAGATATTCAGTCATAGGATGTGGTATTCTGTTATATATATGAGTAAAAGCCTTGCTGATTATAGTATGTCTGTTGCTCGTAACTGCTGAGTGAAAAACAGTCTAGACTTGAGATATTAATTTTTTTAAATGTGTCTGAATCTTACTCAAGATTCCTTGTTTGATAGTGATCTTTTGAGAAAATTATTCTGAAGGAGATATACATGTAGAAGCCAAGAGTTTGGGTCATGAGTAACACTGTATGTGAAAAAGGAGCTTAGATTAATATGTATGAGTAATTGAAAAGATTCTCTTGAGTTATTATTCAAATGGCTAATTATAGCTTACTAGCTATAGTTAAAATTCTGAAGCTAGAGATCTTGGGTGGGCCAAGAAGATTGATTTCTAAACAGACATTTCAAGAGAGTAATGTGCAATTTTCCTGGAATTAGATTCAGCCCTATATTTTACACAGAGGGAAGACAGAAAAGGTGGGAATGGATATGGACAGATGACAGTTTTGGTAGTGGAGAGAGAACAGAATGTGCATCTGGTTGCTTCTCCATGTTCAATAAAACTATTTTAGAGGTCATTGTCTTAGTACAGCAGAGAGGGATTTCAGCGATTTGAGAAAGAATAGGAAGGACAGAATAAATGTAGACCAAATGAAAGCAAGAGAAGGTAAGGTTCAGTGGGGATGAATTGCGATTGCCAACAGATTTGAAGAATATTGAAATAGAAAGCAAGATGCTTAGTGGTTGTTGGGTGGCATCCTGGTCACTAATAAGCACTGACTTCTGAAAAAGTAACAAGATATCTGGTCCCTTCAGCTACATTGTATTGTTTCCATCCCTAAGCTACATTCTAATTCCATAAGGCCTGAATGCTTCCATATCCCTAACAGGCTGTAATATTTCTGTATTCAATGTATATAGTCAAATTATATAAAATGGTTTATTGAGGAAGCCCAATTCCAACATTAACCTGGGAAAAAACCTAGGTTCTTAATCATATTTGCTGTTCCTCAGTAAAGAAGAACCTCTTAAAGTGGTCCACGGAGGCCAAGTGAGTGGTAGAGTATAAAGAAATGGTCTTTCACATACTAAAAACTGAAGTGTCCTATTTTTATCAGAAAAAAAAAGTCCAGACTCTGGTAAATTGACTTTACATTCTGTTCTTAGGCATTGGTCCAATTTCATCTATACAGCCTCATCTTTACATATTCATATTTTAGGGTCCATTCTTACTGCTCCTCTTTAAACCCTTGTCTAAGGGGTTGAACCTGTACATTTAGATTCATGTATGCTCATTGTGCAAGTCTATGCACTTGAGGTGTGGTAATGGTATGGGTGTCCCTGCTTTAGTGGGCTCTTCAGGCCTTTCTCCTGGCGGTTTCTTCTGTCTGCTTGCTACACTTTAATTTGTGTTTGCCTAAGTTTCAGTGATCTAAAGATCCCATCTGAAACTACACTTTTCTAAGAATTCCCTTGTCATCCTTCAAATCTGAGTTTACCAAAGTTTCCTTATCCTGACCTGCCACCCTCACTGCCTATGTCCTTTTGCTTCTTACTAATAAGCACCTAGCAAGCCTTGTCCCTTAACCTAGTACCTGGCTCAGAATAGGGTTTGGTAAATGTCATCAGAATTGTTAAAAGAGGAAGTATTTTATCATTTTTAAATATATACGCTATATGCTTCATCAAATTAGACTTGATATGTTACATAAGAGTTTCTAATATATCTGAAAATTTCCTGTGGATTTGTGACTTGAGGTAAAACAGAGAAATTTATTATAAATCATAACAGGAAAGCCAGGCTTGGTGGTGCATGTCTGTATTTCCATCACTCAGAAGGCTGAGGTGTGTGTGAGGGGAGTGTGTGTGAGGGGAATGTGTAGCTCATGGCCAGCCTGGACCGCATAGTGAGTGTGAGGCCTGCCTGCCTCAGTAAACACACAAAAACAAACAAAAAATAGTTGGACACAATACCAATATAAAATTGTAATGTGCAATAATGAAATCTGATAACAAAACAGGTAAATATTTTTTATTTTTTAAATTTTTTTATTGTGAAAATACTGTACAGAGGGGTTACAATTACATGGGCAAGATAATGAGTACATTTCTTATCAAGCATTGTTGCCTCCTCCTTTGTTTCCCCTTCCTTTTGGAGTCGTACAATTTGCCCAAAGTTTAGTGCTAAACTATTCTGTAGTAAGGGTAAAAAAAAATCACCATGCCTTTCAGCTGGTACAGCTTCTGAATGCTGTGTCACCCTGCAGTTTGCATTGTTGGCTTGACATCCAAATGCTGCTTCACCCTGTGCATTCCAGCAGGGGAGGATGGTAATTGACTTTGTTGGTGATCCTGTGGGTTTAGGTTCATTTAAGTTCCCAATATAATGGTTAGAGAAGACTCAAATACCCTATAAATCATTTCAGAAACATATAGCAATTATATTTCATGCTGTTTAATACAGATGTTAGAATGATTACCATTTGTTATGTTATCTTTAGTAAAGTAAAAAATTACTAGATTTGAAGAAATAGATGAAGACATATGCAGTGCCATATTCATGAATATACAATCAAACTGACTAAAGTATGACACATGCAGGGATAGAGTCCTATAGTGTAACTCCTTTGAATAATTAGCTAAGGGTTTAACAAAATGAATATCTGGAATCTGAAATGTGTTTTGTCTGAGAGGATGGGGTAATAGAATGATTGGTGAATACAGTCAAATACACAATGTATTCATGTGAAAATGGAACCAGGTAATTTGAGGGGATGGGTAGGGTTGGGACAGATTGGGTCAGGGGAGCATGATGGGAAATGTGACATTGATCAAGATGTAACGCACTCGCTAACGTAAGCAATGGAACCCCCTTTCCGCAACTACTTAACAATAATAATAATTAAAATTAAGAAAATGAACAGATAATCCTATATTGTAACCATGAAATAAGTAATTCTATGTGCAAAAACTAAAAAAGAAACCATAACCAATGACCCTTTTTCTTCCATCTGCTTTTTCACACAGGTACAGCTTGGCCAAGTAGAAATCAAATGTCCCATCACAGAGTGTTTTGAATTCTTGGAAGAAACAACTGTGGTCTATCACTTAACCCATGAAGACTCAATCAAGTATAAGTATTTCTTGGAACTTGGCCGTATTGATTCCAGCACCAAGCCATGTCCTCAGTGCAAGCACTTTACAACCTTTAAGAAAAAAGGACACATCCCCACCCCCTCCAGATCAGAAAGCAAATACAAAGTAAGCATGCTCACCAGCACTGTGGGTTAAATGTCATATGATGGGCATAGCCAAGTTAGGCTGGCCTGTGATGGACTTTAAATTGGCTTCCTTCCCCTATTGGAGACTGAAGTAAGCGTATATTACCTCTGATAATGAAAATGTATGTTGGGAGAGACTGATGCTAAAAGAGCATTCTTGAGGATATTTTTCTTTGACTTCAATCCTGCTGAAATTATATCTAATTATATCTAATAACATAATTGAAAGCACTTTTTAACCATTACTAGTTACTATATAAATACTTGGGGGTTACTTTTCCTTTCTTTTTTTAAAGTGTGAGCCTGATTTTTCAATGGCTTGTGTGTAAGTCTACTCTACATCTGTCTATAATAAGCGAAATATTATGAAATGGTATTTATTCATTAATCAGCAAATTCAGAATGACAGTAGATGCTTGGCACTACATTTAGGGGATATACAAACAAATGTGACATAGCTATTGCTTCTAAAAGTTTAAGTAAGATGATAGCTTTCTGTCACTGAAACAATTACCTGAGATAATCACCTGACAAAGAATGAAATTTTATCTTGGTTTAACTCAGTTTCGGAGGTTCTGGTTCATGGCCGGTTGATCCTGCTGTTTTGGGCCTATGGCAGAAGCCCATGGCAGAGAAAAACTACTTGCCCTGTGGCTTGCAAACAAGAGAGAGAAAAATGGCTAGAGTCCCCAAATCCCCTTCATGGCCATGCCTCCAGTGAGCTCAAGACCTCCCTCCACTAGACCTCGCCTCCAAGTTTCACTGTCACTAGCATCACCCTTGGGGGCATAACTTTACTTTTGGGGTCTCTTATGACTCAAACTATAGCAGATGGCAAGAGGGACATGTGTCCTAGAATGACAATTCCGTATGATTAGGAAAACCAAACAGCTCCCCTCCCCAACTAGTCCCCCTTTTCAGGGAGTGTTTGGGGGACACTTGGCAAAAGGAATGGGCTCTGACAAGGATATCAGGAATGGCATTATCCAGGAAGCGTAGTTGTCTAGAGAGACAAACATAGGAGAGCATTTTCAGAGCATGGGTGAGTAAGAGTTCAAACCCAGAGGATGAGGCCAGGAATGCTGGAAACAAGAATGGGAAAAGAATAAGGGAGAGGCAGCTCTTGTTGGTCTTGTTGAGTCTTGTACCCTTGCACTTAGGAATTTGAATTTAATTCTGAATGCATTAGAGAAAGTTGTTCGCTGAGGCTATTACAGAAGGGCAATATTCAAGGCTAGGAAACCAAGGCAGTAACTGTGGCCTTGCAGTACTGACTTCATGGTACATTACAATTACCTGGAGAGCTTGTAAGAAGCACAAGGGGCTCTGGCCCACTACACAACAGTTGTGTTGGAAGTTGGTGAGCTTCACTCAGTTACTAAGAGGCAGCAGCGTAGAGACATTTGCAGTAAATGAGGCAGAAAATGGATGAAGCTCCGGCAGTAGTTTCAGCCTTGTTATTGCAACAAATGGCAGGGTGCAGTGGTTCCAAAGAATGTTTGAAGGCATCTCCATTTAAGGTAAGTTTTCGCTCATGTTCTGTATTTTGGAAGCAGCAGTCACTGCATTATTCATCCTGTAGCTCTGAGGAGATGGTGGTTGAGCAATCATGGTTGATATTGTAGTGATGAGGTAGAGAATTGCTCAGTTAATCACAGCCCCTTACTGGCTTTGTCTTTGAAACTGCTTGACTCTCAAGTTGATATTTTCCTCTCTGGCTTTTTGGTATAAGTGTCAGGAAAAAAATCTTTTGTTAATCTTCTACAAAAGCTATGATTTTGAGATTACAAAATTGTATAAAATAACCCCCTACAATGATGTTGGCTTCTGACTTAATAGAATTCTTTGATTTGATGATGTACATTTTTTTGGTTATTCAAGTTAATTTTATTCTAGTTGTATGTTATTGATGTTATCAGGAAATTACTAATTTTCAAAAGACTTGCCATTCTCTAACAGGATATTTAACCTTTTCTATATTTTATTTTGAATTGAATGTACATAAAGTGAAAGTGCAATATTGGAATTTGTGGCAATTAAGACATGTATGTGTAATTGAATCAAAGTAGAGATAATTAATTTTAAAATGCTATTGTTATTAAATAGATAGAAGGTGTAATTTAAATGCCAATTTTATAACCCTTGTTTCCTGCAAAATAATGTTGGATGAGCATAATTTCTCACAGTGATTATGTATTGAGAGTGAAATATGAAAAAAATGGCAAGAGCTCCTATATATGTGTGCTTTTGAGAGAAGCAAAGGTATCCATGTAAGAAAAGAAGCAGGGGCAAATGGACCACGATCATAAATATAACATACTCAGGTGTTTACTTTTGAAGAGTATAGGAGGAAAACGTATAGGCTCAAACAAACTATAAATTATGATAGCTGTTATCTTTGTTGTAATATGGAGTCAGAATCAGCAGTCTTGTATACAGAGAAGGCAGTAGGGAGTCAAAAAAGAATAGACATGGACTTGGGGATGGATGTGGGAGTAAGGACCTGATAAACTCAGTAAAAAGTAAATGTTGCTAAAGGAACAGTTAAAATCCTCCTGTGTAGGTAAAGGATGGAAATCTTAGTGTGTATTCATTGCTGTTATGTCACTGCAAAGAATACCCAACACTTTTAAGTAAGTAGTCTCTACTACTTATTCACTTATTTTTGTTTGTTTGTTTTCTTGTGCCAATGCTGAGGTTTGAACTCAGTGTCTTGAGCTCTACTTTAGCTTTTTTTGCTCAAGGTCAGCGCTCTATCACTTGAGCCACAACTCCACTTCTGGCTTTTTTGTGGTTCATTGGAGACTTTCCTGTCCTAGCTAGCTTTTAACCTCAATCTCACGGGATAGCACTCTCAACCAACACTAAGGTCGAATTCTGTCGTCAAGCAGATGGACATTTTGCATTCTGCTATTTTCCCCAATAACCAAATTCACTTCCGATTTTTATATTGTACTTTATCATAAGTTTAAGAGTGGTGAATTCAAGTACTGTAATGCAACTGTTTGTATCATAAGATAACAGAAATAAGCAACAAAAACATTACCATTAATGTCTAACATTTTCAAGCCACTTTGTAATATTGTTTAGAGCCTTAAGTGGGGTTTGTTATCTATTGATAAATCCACTGTTCTGTTTATTTCACTAGTACTGTGGTGAGTCATCAAGTTATCTTGACATGAGGTATTTCATTCTCTGAGCGTTTATTATTTTTTCACTCTTTTTTCAGAAGCACTTAAGATCATGGATTAAAAGAGCTTGAAGATGGTACTGCCATTTTATAGTTAAGCAAATGCTTCTCATATGAGATCTGAACTACCTTATATATGGGTTTTATTTGTATAGCTTTTTATAAAGCCCATCTTTGGGTTTTTTTTGTTTGCTTTTGTTTTTGTTTTTTGTTTTTTTTACTTTCAGCAGATAGAAAAAAAGATAAACAGAGCTGGGTACTGGTAGTTCAAGCCTGTAATCCTGGAACATTACTGTCCGAAGATAGCCTAAGCAGAAGATTCTGAGACTCCTCCAGAATAACCAACAAAAACTAGGACTGGAGGTGTGGCTATAGTAGTAGAATGCAAGTCAAGCAATCAAGTTGAGCAACTGAGAGGCTTTGATATTGGGGGGAAAATGAACTATCAATAAGCAGCAATTAAAATTTATAGGTGATCATTAATCATTCAATACCTTCACTTAGCAAATAGAGCTTTTCATTATATTCCAAATATCATCAAATGCATACCATATCAAACACATACATTCCTGAATTGGGAGATTTATAGAGATAGCCTTGCCTCTGGTCAGATAGGTTTACTTTTACATTCATAACATTTTGGTCTTATTCACTCTGCAATTCATGTAATGTAATAAAGTTTTATCATCCCATTTCCCTAACAATGACCTAATATCTAGCCTCTGTCTTTCCTGTAAAGTATTAATGCAATACCAACTGCCTATCAAGGGGTATGCAAGTTAAAGGGGTGGGAATAAAAATGTTGAGGTTGTGACTCCAGTCTGCTCATGTGAGGTCTATAGGCAGACATACCACCCACATCTAAAGTTTTAGTCCATACCAATTAACATCTGGTATTTTATTTTATGTTTAAGTGGTTATTAGCTTAGTCTCTCTTTCTAATTGGTCTCTAGGAGTCCAGACCCAGCTTAGTTTTATTCACTGCTGATAACAAAGCACTATATCCTTATCTTGGGGTTCATTTCACTTAACATCATCTTGTCTGACCTTTTCTGCTTGTCCCGGACATATACTAGTTATTGCAAATAAGGTAAACCATGGGACCTATGTTTCTTTGGGCCTGGCTTACTTCACTTAATATAATTTTTTCCAAGTCTTCCCATTTTTCTTTCTTGCTGTTGTTTCTAACATATTTATAAGGTACCTCGTGATTTTTTTGTTGCTTTGTATGTCCCTCCCTGTTTTCATTGTATTTGATGTTGGCATAATTTGGGGAGGGGAAGGGAAAAACAAATTGTACCACATGATTTTTTTGTTGCTTTATATGTCCCTCCCTGTTTTCACTGTATTTGATGTTGGTATAATTTGGGAAGGGGAAGGGAAAAACAAATTGTTTAAATTGGGATACAGGTTGACTCATTGCAACAATGAGATGTACAAGACACTAGATCGAAAAACGAACTTTACAATTTAGGCAGGGTGGGAGTAGTTGTAGAGATGGGAGGGAAGGGATGGTAGGGGAAAATACAAAGGAGCAGGCAACAATGCTTGATAAGAAATGTACTCATTACCTTGCTCACGTAATTGTAACCCCTCTGTACAGTATTTTCACAATAAAAAACTTATTAAAATATAAATTAAAAAAGCACTGTATCCTGTAGAGAATATGCTTTCAAAATGCATTTGGTAAAGGAACTAATACATCACCAAAGCACACATAATATGTACCGAAACAAATATAGGTTAAAGTACCAAGAGCCTCAAAGAAGAGGGAAAGGAAAGCTTGAGAA